AACTATTAATGCATGATCTAAACAATGAACTCACAAAAAAAGGAGAAAAAGAACAGAAAAAACATTAAACAAAAATGGCAGCAAAAACCAAATTATTTACATAAAGCTCACGCAGAGCACCACCGTCACAACACATCAAGTCAAAGGATGGAAGATCATCTATAGCTTTAAAAAAATAAACATAAAAAAAAAAACTTTTGTGTCACGATCACCAGCGATCTAGGCGTTGCAGATCGCGGGAAAACAAGCATTATCATCAGGACTACAATTCTGCCACTATATAAACTACACATCCCAGAATCACTCCTGCTACAGCTGACAGTCATTCGAACACTGACAGATACAGACAGCTGGTAACTCATGATGGACTGATTATCTGGACTATATATTCACCTCTCAAGCACACACACACACACACACACACACACACACACACACACACACACACACACACACACACACACACACACACACACTCACACACTCACACACTCACACACACACACACACACACACACACACACACACACACACACACACACACACACACAAACACACAAACACACACACACACACACACACACACTGCTGAGTCTTGTTTTCTGTAAGCATTTCAAAGCGTTATTTCCTGTCTAGCCTTCCTGTGTTTTGTTTATTGTTTATCCTGTTTGCCTCCTGCACTGATCTCTTGCCTGCTTTTGAGCATGTTCTTTGGATCGTCGATATCAGGCATGTCCAAACTCGGTCCTGGAGGGCCGGTGTCCTGCAAAGCTTAGTTCCAACCCCAATCAGACACACCTGGGCTAGCTAATCAAGCTCTTACTAGGCTTTCTAGAAACATCTTTGCAGATGTTTTGAGGCAAGTTGGAGCTAAAATCTACAGGACATCGGCCCTTCAGGACTGAGTTTGGACACCCCTGGTCTATATGCTCCACTTTATACCTGTTTTGATTGCTGCCTGCCTGACTACTCTCTACCACACGTGGATCTTCACCTCCGATGTCCTTGTCCCTTATGTTACAGTTTGTTTTGGTAATCTTCAATCAAAATCTGACTATTTGCTTATGAATTTGAAGTGGCTATTTTTCTCTGCTGACATAACTTTGACAGCTTCAGCCACAATATTCTTAACCACACTCCTTTTACCAATAATTTGCTATAAGGGAATGAAAGGAAAGCCCTGCCCCTACTCAATATTTAATTTCAGTTATAAGTATCTACATACTAAAATAAAAGTATCATCAACAGCGTTTGTTTTTTTAGGTGTTTATTATAACACAGACAACATATACAGATATTTTAAACACTTTCAATAGTGTTTTACGAAAATTCAAAGGGTTTTCTTTAAAACGATACCAACTTTTTGCATTTACAACTCTGCATTTGGATTTGGGAAGCTTTTAAATTTGGGTAGGCAAAATCCAGGCGGAAATCACAAAATAGCAGCAGAGTTTAACTGGTTAAAAAACTAATGAGTTAACTTAATTCCTTTATGTTGTCCCAACACAAATCGATTGAGTAAGTAGCAGTTCATGTGCACATTACATCTTTATATTGGCATCTGCGATTATATATAAACAGCATCAATCCAGGTATTGTCATGTAACCTAGTTATCTCTCTTGGCTTAATGACAAGAACATTATTTGAAGTAGTGAAGGAAACTATAAGAGCATATACAAGGTATAGGGGCATTTCATCAGCAAGCTTATCAACCCAGTATGCATTACTATTTATAAACTCTTAAGAAGGTCTGTGATGGGTTTAAGACGACAGGTGGACATGTTTGTGTTGCTGCTGGGTTACATCACTTTAACATAGTGTAACAATTCACACTGCCTGTTGTTGGAACCGCAAAATGTTCTTTTTAATATGCAGATAAAAAAAACATACAATTTACCAGCTAACATATGATATATTATATAGTAAAATTATAGTTCATATAACATTAAGAAATCTGTCATCATTTACTCACACACTTGCTCCAAATCTTTCTTTTTTTTAAACATTATTTTAAAGAATTGTGAGAAATGGTTGGTCATTGTGCTATACATATATTTTTCTTTTCAACTAAGCATGTCAATAGGTACCAGTTTCCAACATTCTTCAAAATATCTTCTTTTGTGTTCAACAGAAAAAAGAAACACATAAAGGTTTGGAGCCATTTGAGAAAATCAATGGTGAGTAAAATTTACATTTCTACTAGAACTCCCTTTAATAGATAAATAAAGAATATATAGTGGAAATAAATAATGCATGTATTATTATATAGTAAAACTAATATTATTAGGTAAAATAAATATTACATTTGTCAAAGTGGCTTTTTATATCCGACCTGATTATTAAAATCATCAGAACTGTCAATTGAAATCTAATGTACTAAAGTTGAATCAGATGTATTAAATGATATTCATGACTTTTAAAACTATTTAAACTTTAAACTTTAACTACTTACAAGGTTTGGAGCCATTTGTGAAAATCAATGCAGAGTAAAATTTCCATTTCTATATGAACTTCCTTTAAATGAACTTACCTGTTGTTTTATTCGCATATAAAAACTAAGTAATAAAAATAAAAAAGTATAAAATAAAAAAAACAATAAATTTAATTTACCCTATTGATGTAAGCGTGAATAAGGCCGTAATTGCTTATTTCATTACTTTATATCCAAAAGGCTTTAAAAAAACAAAATATATGCACATAAAACAAGTGAATGAATGTGTAATATAAATGATATTACACTGCAGTTAATTCATTTGGAGGCTACTTTTATCTGACCATTACAATGGCTGTCAAAACTATTGCAGTAAGTTGATTCAGTCAAATTAAATAGTCCTTCTTACTTAAAAACCAATAAACTAGTTGTTTTAAATTTTACAACAGTATGTGGTCTACACTACACATTAGATGCTAAATATACTGTTTGGAATCTATTTCACTGATTGACAATTTAAAAAGAAATAAAATATACATTTTGTTTCTATTTATAACCCACATTGTCTTGTCCATTTTCCCAATGTCGATTTATAACAAATCCAGCAGGAAAATATTGCGCCCTAATAAAATAATTAAATGAAATTTTGACATACTGATTAGTACTCAGTATAATACTTTATAAGTACATGTTATCACCACTATTTAATGCTAATATTGGTAGCACTGTATTTTACAGTCCTGTTCTGCATGTAGTTATGCGCTTACAGTAATTACAAATAACTAGGGATTAATCCTCAACCCACCCCTAAACCAACCCATGCAGTTACCTTACATAACCCAGTATACTCTCTACAGTGCATGTGCGCTTACTGAAAAATAAATTCAACAATTAAACCCACATATCGGACTACCCATATGAACAAATACCACAGTAATTTATAGGAAATACTATAGTTTTTGAGCCATACTATAGTAAATTACTTGAATTAATTTGTTGTGTTGATTGTATTGTTGTATACAGATATATTCATTCCTTCATTCATTTTCTTGTCTGCTTAGTACCTTTATTAATCTGGGGTCGCCACAGCGGAATGAACCACCAACTTTTTCAGCAAGTTTTAACGCAGCGGATGCCCTTCCAGCAGCAACCCATCTCTGGGAAACATCCACACACACACTCATACACTACGGACAATTTAGCCAACCCAATTCACCTGTACCGCATGCTTTTGGACTGTGGGGGAAACCGGAGCACCCGGAGGAAACACACGCGATCGCAGGGAGAACATGCAAACTCCAGACAGAAAGGCCAACTGAGCGTTGTATGTATACACACACATACAGTATAGTTTAGATGCAAAAACCTCTAAAAGCCATTTAATATTTTCTTCTAAATTTGCATTTTTTTTTTTACTCCTGTGTGTAGGCTCTGTAATTTAACCTTTATAGTGACGAATATATATATAAACACACACACATATTACATAGTGCTATATAACCCTATAATATAGCAATATAACCCAATACTGTAGTTTTATACAAAACATTGGCTTTTATCAACTGTTTTATCAACCATGGTTTAATCAACTGTAGTAAAAACTAAAGTAGGCCTATACAGTATTTTTTTTTTACTATTTATCAGTCTACTTTAATATACAGTATAATACACTTTACTCTATGGTTTGAAAAAACTACATCATTTAATATAAAATAAAGTATTTTTAGTGGTGGGCAAAGATTAATTGCGATTAGTCCAAAATCAAACTTTTTTTCCCCCTGCGTTTGTAGATATAACATGTATAAATACACTCAAATAATTACATTTGCTGCTTGCTCATAATAACTATTTAAAAAGAGCTGAAACAAAATAATTCTGGAGGTTCTTTTGGGGACAACTTAAATGTTTTATGTTAAATTTGTATGTATGTATGTGTGTGTGTGTGTGTGTGTGTGTCTGTCTGTCTGTCTGTCTGTCTGTCTGTCTGTCTGTCTGTCTGTCTGTCTGTCTGTCTGTCTATCTATCTATCTATCTATCTATCTATCTATATAATTATACAACAGTTCTGTCTGGTTCTTGAATATGATTGTCTGAAAGCCATGCAATATTCTGTAATTAACAGCACTAGTACAGCCTCGTCATCCTTCTGTATTACTACACACTATGGTTCACTCAACTGAAGTAAAAACTAAAATAGGCCTATACAGTATTTATTACAGTATTTTAAAGTATTTATTACAGTTTATCTATTTAATAATTTTCTCGGACATATGCATGCGTGTATTAATATGCTACATAAATAATGCATATACAGACACACGCATATAATAATAATTATTATGCAATGTTTGTATGTAATAATTATCATGTCTGTCATTAATAGCTAATAAACAAGTAAGCTTAAATGGCTGTAAAAAAAACTTCGCACATTCCCTTCAGTACAGCAAATCCCCCCTCTGTCTTTCCAGTGACATCATTGTGGTGTCCATAGGTGGAGCTGTGGAGGACAAAGAGAGGGACCACACATCCTCAAGTTCTCAGCTCACACAACTACAACCAGAACTCCACGCGTGACGGCAGAGGATCAACAACGCACGAGGATGCCACTAACACACACTCACCAGCACATTTCTGAGGTCTGTCCGAAATAACCAGCAAATGGTGACCGGCGCGGTGGACGCTGAACGGGAGTAAATTCACCGGAGGAGGCGTAAAGAAACAACCGGGGAGCGACTCTCATTTAACAAAGCGCTTTTCTTTGAGTGTGGCTTTTTCGGGTGTAGGATTTTCAGTGGATTCTTTTGTATCTGGATTGTTCGTGGAGGGAGAGAGCCGGGAAGCGGTGTTTCATTGAGCCATGAAGAAGAACAGTTCGTCAAAGCGGGTGAGAAAGACACCGAGTCCCCTCTATTGTCAGTGAGGAGCGCCGCGAGCCTTTGTGCACTAGTATATGAACCACTGCAGAGCATACATACTGCTTCACTATACTAAAACTATCTTTAGCAACGTTTTACAATTACATTTGCCAAAAAAAACGTAATTTTTTGTTGTAGTTGCAAATGTAAAAGTCGATATCCTCTCGCACTGTAATGTTAGTTGACTGAATAGCGGAAGAGCAATGCTGACGTTATTCTATTAAACTGAGCATGAGTTGTTAAACTACAGTTAATGTGTCAAATGGGAATAATGATAACACAATAATAGTATTAACAATAATAATAACCAAAATAAAATCTGGCCTACTTGTCTGCGTATTTTGAATTTAACAATATATAACTGTTAGTTATATAAACACTGGTTGTGTGTAGCAGCCTACTACTAGAATATAGATTTTACATTTGGGTTTTAAGTGTGCTGTTTATTATGTATAAAGCTCTGGTCAAAAGTTAAGAAGCATTAAGATTTGTTAGAAGCCTCTTCTGCTCACAAAAGCTGCATTTATGTAATCCAGAATGGCTCTTTAAGACTATTTCTGCAAGAGTTGGTTTTTAAAATATTTTACTTGAGTCTAAATTATATTAAGTTGCATTTTAAATGTATGGAAGATTTCACATAGATTTAATAAATTCATTTTTAACTGAACATGTCAGACTTTAAATGTTGCTAATATAGTTTTACATTGATTATATGTTAAATTCAGCTTATTTAATATATATATATATATATATATATATATATATATATATATATATATATATATAAATATATATATATATATATATATATATATATATATATATTTTTTTTTTTTTTTTATCATATATATATATATATATACTGTTAAAAAAATATACACACACACATACATACATATATATATTAATTGAACACATACATTCTAAAAACCAAAAAGAATTGAAAAACTTTAAAGAATTGAAAAAAATGTAAAAACTGGCCTATTTGTTTTTAAATATACAAATCTAAAATATAGTTATTCACTGGTTGTATTTAACAGCCTACCAAGTTAGTAAATATGGATATTAATTTGGATTATTTAGTATGCTGTTTATTATGTATAAATCGCTGGTCAAAACTTTGGAAGAATTACGATTTGTTAAAAGCATTTTCTGCTCACAAAAGGTGCAGTTATGTAATACAGAACTGCTGTTTACGATTATTTCTGACAAAGTTGGTTTTTAATATGTTTTACTTAGATTTAAAAGATATTAACTAGCATTTTAAATCTATGGAAAATTTCACTCAGATTTAATAAATTCATTTTTAATTACACATTTTAGCCTTTAAATGTTGCTAATATAGTTTTACATTGGTTATATGGTAAATGCAGCTTATTTACTGTATAATTTTGATCATATACGCTACTGGTCAAACATTTGGAAAAATTAAGGTTAGAAACAAGCTTAAATTTGAAACTGATCATAGTCAGGAACCAACTGAAGCTGTCATCTAGAGGACAATATTACAGTAATCTGTGTAAGAAAGGCATAATATAGATATTAATTTTAGGTTATTTAGTATGCTGTTTATTATGTATAAAGCTCTGGTCAAAAGTTAAGAAGCATTAAGATTTGTTAAAAGTCTCTTCTGCTCACAAAAGCTGCATTGATTTAATCCAGATTGGCTCTGTACGATTTTTTCTGAAAGAGTTGGTTTTTTAAAATATTTTACTTGGGTTTAAAATATATTATATGACATTTTAAATATATGGAAGATTTCACATAGATTTAATAAATACGTTTTTTCCTACACGTTTCAGACGTTTAATGTTGCTAATATAGGTTTACATTGGTTATACTGTATGTTAAACTCAGCTCATTTACTTGACTAAAGTGATCTTACTATACTGATCTTACTATATTCAGGAAACAACTGAAGCTGTCATCATCAGGGCAATATTACAGAGATCTGTGTAAGACAGGCATTTTGCTATAGTAAAAAAACATGCATTGATATATAAAAACTAAACGCTACCCCACCTAAACAAATATGAATGATTAATTCATTTAAAACATTCGTTCTAAAAACCAAAGGGAAATTCCCAAGGGAACCCATGGTTTGAAAATGCTAATCCTCTACTACGACAAACTGCACTATTAACATGCACTATTAATGAGATGATTAAATTACTGTCCAAAATGGCTAAAAGCATAATAAATGACACCTTCAATAAATTTCCAGCAGCCGAAAAGTGCATACGTGCAGAATTACATGCATATAAATGAGCAGTTAAATGTCTTTTACACAATAAAGACTTATCAGAAAGAAATTTTGGTCTTTTTTCACTATTTTCTATGTACACAGCCTTTTAGCTTATCACACTCAGACTGCAAGATCTCAACCCTGGTAATAAACAAACCCCTGAGGAAACACTGATGTGTGTAGTGTTTGTCCTGTGTGAGAAATCTGACTAGGCAGCAGGAATGTGATATGATCTACATGACAAAGATATTGTCTTTAAGAGAGGCTCCCCCTATTTTAGAGATTATGTATCAAACCTAGTCAACAGCCTTTTCAAGCTGCATATTGAGCATCATAGACCCAAAAAATGCTTGGAAACATACAATTACATCATAACTCACTGCTAAGGTGAAGTCTCATTGGCATGTCTGTATTTTCTCTCTCTAGGGCCCTCAGGATGCCAATCAACAGCCTGTGCAGCCCGACAAAACTGGCTGGATCCGCAAGTTCTGTGGCAAAGGAATTTTCAGGGAAATTTGGAAAAACCGATTTGTTATATTGAAAGGAGACCAACTCTTAATTTCTGAAAAAGAGGTTCGTTTTAGACATTTTTTATTTATTGCTGTTGCTTTTCTCCACGTTATCATCATTTGATTAATGGGATGCTGCGTGTGGCTCAGTCTTCCAGTGATATTCGTTACCACTTTCAATATGTGTGTGTTGAAAAGCGAGTAATGTGTCTTTAGTTGCCTAAAGGCATGGATAGGTTGTGTGACATGCTCCCAGAAAACCACAAACAAAAATGGAAATTCAATCCATGCTACTTTAAACATTATAAAACAGCATGGCTTTGACTGACCTCAGAGCATTAAAAGAAATCTAGTATTATTTAGAAATGATTCTCTCAAACTGAACAGGTTTCACATTCAAACTATACAGAACATAATTAATAATAACAATAAAGGTAACACTTTACAATAAGGTTCCATGAGTTTGGTGATTTATTTATTTACACGAACAATTAACAGACAACACATTTATTTGTTACAGTTTTTATTCTTATTTCTTACCCTTAGTTCTGAAAATAAAGTCATTCATTGCTTGTTCTTGTTAACTCATTAACTAAATTAACTTTGGATTAACTAAAACTTTGGATTTTAATAATAAATTTGTACATGTTGAACTATGATTAATAAATACTGTAAAAGTATTGTTCATTCTTATTAAATGTTAGTAAAGATATTACCTAACGGATATTATTGTAAAGTGTGACCATAAAATGTTTGTTGATAATATTCAGTATATGCAGATAGACTTACTTAAAGGGGGTGTTCCGCTATGATATCATATTTTAAACTTTAGGTGATGTGTAATGTAGCGGTGTGAAGATAAACAACATCTCTGAATGTAAGATGCTTAAAGTTCCATGCTAAGGGAGACATTAGCTTCTACAGAGTTAGCTTGGCAAAGCCTACAGCGAATGAAGTTTGGGGACTACAAAAAATACATCCGGGTTAGTGAGATGACAAAAGCTTCAGGTTACACACATTCACCACGCGTATACACCTCGCATAGCAAAAGGGCGTGGCCAGAAGTGATGTAATGTTACAGCAGAGAAAGCTAAAATGCCGTCTAAACACTACTATTTCCACAGAGCTTCTTCTGTTTCTGTATTTGGGCTTCCAAAGGACACAACACAAAGAGAGATGTGCTTACAGTTTAATTTTAATTATCTTCCAGATAATTATAAAATATATAGCTAGCATTTGACAAAGGACAGCTTCCAGAATCTCTCCCAGTTCAGGGCTGTATTAGTTTAAAAACTTTTCAAAGGAGCAGCTCCAAACATAATAGCAGAAGATGTGGATTGTGAGCCACAACCTGTGAGTATTTTTATATGTTAAAATTGATCTATTACATGCACAGTGTCTAGCGTTACGGCATATTGTAGCAAGGATGTAAACAACGGGAAATGCTGTTTGGCACCACTAACAATTTAGCTACAAATTAATATTTATCAATCAAACCGCTGTAAACACCCACAATCTTCAGCAGCACTGCAGTGTCTCTCTATGTGGCTGCTTTCCCTGCAGTCTACATCCCAAATAACGAACTCGCAAAAGATATGTGAACTTTTATATTACTTACACATGCTTATTACTAATAAAAGACACTTGTCAGATGTTATTTTAGATAGCAGGAGTGAGCTTTAGCTGTGTCCTTTTCATTTTCTGTCTGATTCAGGCCCAAACTGATTTGGCTAACGGCTAAACTGACTGACAGTATTTACACAGCGCAAAAGCATGTGCTTATGGAGGCGTGACGCTTTTCCTGGTGATGTGGAACTGATCCGTGATTCACATTATGTTAGCTGATCAATCAGAGCCTCTTGAGGGCGGGCCTTACAGAGGAACAAGTAAATATGTCAGTCGCTTTCATGTTAGCTGAGTAGCTGTATATAATAAAAATAAGATATATGAAAAAATCATGTGATTTTTTTTTACAAGTGAACCATGATCACACATTGCTATGCATCTTATAAACAAAATCAAGCCTTAAAAATACACTCTGGACCACCCCTTTACTTAATATTATTTAACAATGCACAAGTATCCAGTATGATCCAAGTCAAAGCATGTTAACCAAGTCAAAAAACAAGGTGTTTATGCATTCATAACATACGCAGAAGAAAAATATAACAGTGATTATATTGATGAATGATTAATCATATTCTGAATGTGACATATAGGAATTTATGGCATTGGCAAATAGTTCCAATAATGGAATCACAAGTTCCCTTAGTTGTTCCTCAAAGGAGCAACACATAAAAAAGATTACTTACAATCATGTCTTTTGATATGTATGAAAATAGATGGTAAGAAGGAACTGTCAACCTACAAAAAAAAAAGAAAAAAAAACATTCCATTAAGATCATAAAAGTAGTTCATGTGACTCATTCATCTTTACTGTATGAAAAACTGCAGTTTAAACTTTCTAACTAAATAAAAAAACTCCTTTGTGTTCCACAGAGCAGGGAAAAGTCATGCAAATGTATAATAACATGAGGGAGAGTAAACAATCAACTGTTTGGATCTGAATTTTTTGGTGACTGTGTCCCCTTGATATTTTTCTGTTCAGGTCAGACTTACTGTGGTGCACAGACCTACATCTAGGCCCTGTTTCCACTTGGTATAAACATGTGTTTTCAGTGATCTGATCACAAGTGGTCAGCTGAGACGTGCTTCCACCTGGCACTAATATGTGTTCTGATATGCCTTTTGTGCGTGCTATTTTGACACAGCTTGTGGGAAAACAGGCAAATGAAAAGGATGCAGCTATGATTTTGGCTGTAATTTGTTTTGGTATAACAAAGTGAAATATGAATCCATGATTTTGCTACGTTATCCCACAGCATTTAAAGGAAAAGTTCACCCAAAAATCATTTACTTAGTCTGCTAACTTCTACCAAACCTGTTTGAGATGATTTTCTTCAACTGAACGCAAAAGAAGATTTTTTGTAGGACGCTGAAAACTGTTAATCATTGATTTGCATAGTAGTTATTCCTACTATGGATGTCAATGGTTATTTGTTAACCAATGATTTTTCATAATATCTTCTTTTGTGTTCAGCAGATAACAGAAAATCCAGCCTGATCTCATGAGGACACATAACTATTTTACGCTTTGTCAGTGTAGTGGCTAATTCGTATGAATTCGTACAATTTCAGTTAGACCTGTGCGATTTGGGAAAAATACCTAATTGCAGTTTTTTTGAGAGATGTTGGGATTGTGATTTGATTTGCGATTTAATTTTGTAGCTAAGATTCAGCTCAATAATCTGTATCATAGCTTTTTACTGCTAAAATGCAGTGAGTGTTAGTAAAAAAAAATGGAAACTAAAAACATTTATTCAAATTTTTTTTTTTAATTCTCCACTACACTTCCTAATCTGTAATTGCCTCTCTGAATATCACACTAACTGTACAAAAAAAAAAAAAAAAAAAAAAAAAAAAATACTAATACTACTAATACTTCCCTTCTTAGACTTTACAGACCTGAAACTTGCTTATAGCACTTATTCATTGTTGCTCTTGGTTGTGTAAATTGCTTCCTTGTCCTCATTTGTAAGTCGCTTTGGATAAAAGCGTCTGCTAAATGACTAAATGTAAATGTAAATGTAATATATCCAGAAATTTCATAAATTTTTCTCTAGTACACATAAAATGAGCTTACCTTTCTGTAAACAAGTTCAACTCAAATTAGGGAGATAATGTAGCTTATTATACAAAAAAAAAAAAAATATATGATTATAAAAATACAGAACACTCAGCAAATTAACATAGCTAATAAGAGGCAGAATGAAAAGTTCTGATTGGGCAGAATGAAAGTGTGCCCACTCAATTGGCTAATAAAGTCATACACAGTTGGCAGTCATGCATTTGCTCTGGGTGGGGGAAATAAATAATACATATATATTCCATAACGCTGCCTCTTGCGGTTAACTACAGAAATTGCAACGTTTAAAATTGAGATTTGATTCCGATTAATTGCACAGCCCCTAAGTTCAGTCTTACGAAAATGTATGATTTTAAAAAGGAGGTGTGGCACATAATGTCGCCCTTAAACCCAACTGTCATTTGGCGATAAGCAAATTGTACAAAATTATATGAATGAGATCATACGAATTCATACGAACTAACTACTAAGTCATAAAGCTACAAATTGCAGTAAGATCAAGTTGGAAAATCAGAAAGGTTTGGAAAAATTTAGTAAATGGCTATTTTAGATGTTAATTTTTGGGTGAGGCAGTGGCGCAGTAGGTAGTGCTGTCGCCTCACAGCAAGAAGGTTGCTGGTTCGAACCCCGTTCAGTTGGCGTTTCAGTGTGGAGTTTGCATGTTCTCCCTGCCTTCGCGTGGGTTTCCTCTGGGTGCTCCAGTTTCCCCCACAGTCCAAAGACATGTGGTACAGGTGAATTGGGTAGGCTAAATTGTCCGTAGCTTATGAGTGTGTAGATGTTTCCCAGAGATGGGTTGTGGCCGGAAGGGCATCCGCTTTGTAAAAACTTGCTGTTGGTGGTTCATTCCGCTGTGGCGACCCCAGGTTAATAAAGGGACTAAGCTGACAAGAAAATGAATGAATGAATGAATTTTTGGGCAAACAACCACTTTAACCAGTCGAGTTTACATACACCACAAAAATAAAGTCCAATGTAATGCAATTTTGACTGCCCAAAAGCGGTACAGTGGTCCCTTGCTATAACGCGGTCCAATTTAACATGCTTTTTTCCTACAGCACATTGTGTTCTGTGTTCTGATTGGCTGTAGACCATTGTCAATCAATTTCCTCTGTGCTGTGTCTCCTGTACAGTACAGAATGCGTTCAGCTTTCTGAAAATGTTTATGCCTGTCTGAGAAAAGTGTATAAAGTTTGTAGTGAGGGGTTTTACTGCCTTAAAACATCTAGAATATAATTGTAATAAACTAAAGCAGATTACTTCGCCTATTGTGGGTTACTTTTAGAATGTAACTGCCATGAATAACGAGGGACAACTGTATTTAGTTTAATCCACATTGAATCTTACTATCGAGTGTA